CCCCAAAACCCCAAAACCCCAAAACCCCATTCACTAAAAATTGAGCTCTTACATGAATTAGATAATTAAAAATGAATAATTTCAGAAAAGCTGGGAACTTAATCTTGATAATAATCCAAGCATTAGAAATTATTAGTGCCGAGATGTATCATCTTAATTCATCAACTAATTAAGAAATATCTCTTAAATCAATATTTAAGGAGTCCTCAACTTTTACTTAAGAAATGATAGAGAAAACTTTGATGAGAAACGATTCAAATTATGTATTGTACCAAGATGTTTTACTTTTAATGCGTAAACTTTCTGAGGAGTTTAGAGAAATTTTGATAATTAAAGAGATTGGTAAAACACATGAAAATAGACCGATACAAATGATTGAAATTACTTTAAAAAACAGCAGTTAAAACTCTATGTTGATAACTGGCGCTCATCATTCAAGAGAGTTATCTTCTATTTAATTACCATTATTAACAGCACTTTAGCTGTGTCATGGATACTATCATAAGGATTAGGAAACGATAAATTTTCTATAGAATCACAAAATGCTACTCATCCCGATAATTAATGTTGATGGATTCAATTACATATCAGAAAAGTTCACCTAATTTGGTAAGTACCCTCTGAAAAGAAAAAATATGAATTCTGACTATGAAAATGGAACAGAGTGTGACACCTCATAAAAGTATTTTAAGTACTATCTTACAGGTGGCTTAGTCACAGAGTTTGATGATGTGATGAGCGGGGTTGATTTGAATAGAAACTATGACTGGGATTTCGGAAACGGTGGTGGCTCTAGCAATGATCCCTGTAATGAATAATATAGAGGTCCTTATCCTTTTTCTGAGAGTGAGACACGTGCTATCAGAGATCTAGTAGAATAGAGATAAAATGACTTGAAAGTTATTTACAATATACACACCTATGGAAATTTATTAGTTCACCCTTTTAGCCATTAAAAGAATAATATTCTAGCAGAAAAATTCCCTCACCATGCTAAGATTTATGAGGAAATCTGGGATGAAGGTCCTTTTCCTAAAGGAAATGAGTAAGAATAAATATTGATTCTCAATAATTTATTTTAGAAGAGGTAATGCCTAATAAGTTGTTGGTTATGAGGCAGATGGTGAAGCGTGTGATTGGATTTTTTCAAAATACTAAATTATCTGTGCAAGTCCAGAGCTAGGCCTCTAAACATATCTCGCTAATGACTTTATTCTTTCCAATCGAGAGGTAGTAAAACAAATTATAGGATAAAACTTCAAATGGATAAAATACACCATGAGAAAGATTGGACCATAACTTAAATTATCAATAGTGAAAGCAACTAAAGCTCTATTAAGCGATGAAATTAATATAGTATTAAGAATAGATAATACAGGTTTGGGAGATTTTAAGCTTACTCATGAATAAAAGTTTGATAGGAGATATCATATTTAGTTTGAAACTAACTATCTAACCCACATTTAGATTCTAAATGGTGAGGCAACCTCGAGATATTTAGGAGCAGATTAATCCTAAATAATGACATTTACACCTCACCAAGATATCCCAAGCAGAGGATTCACAACTGTCACAATTCAGGGTAGATTGAATGAAAATTATTACACAAAATTATCTAAGTCTTAAAAGTCAGCTGAACTTGATGACTAGTATGTAACAATTGAATATAAAAAGTATCCATTGCTTTAAATAGAGCCATAAACACTAGAAATCCCACTAAACAAGATTCTTAAGTACAATACTATTTCATTATCAGTGAGTGAAATATTTAATGAACTATTGCCTTAAAACTCATATAGAGCTTGGCTAAGTATTAATTTAGTGCTCATAACAATATGTATAATTGCTATTGTTGGCTTTTGTTTATTCAAAATGAAGAAAACCCTTTGGGAAAAATACTTGATAAACAATCAAGTTAGATTAAATTCTCAAAGGTTTTTGGATTTAAAATAAAATTTGATCATCTAAGAACCCTATTTAAACGATGCCATGTCAAGAACAGATTTTATACTTGTTTGAATATGAAGCACTTAATTTTTATTCAAAAACTATTTCAAATTATTAATAAATGTCATGGGGTTTTGGGGTTTTGGGGTTTTGGGG